TGCAGGAGACAAAACATGCAGCACTCATCTCAGAGTGAAGACAGGTTTGCATTTGCATGCTTTGGTCTTTACCACCTTTTATGTTAGCCCTGGGCGCACATTTTTTTTTTTTCCTCATATATCCGTTCTTTTAAGTAGAAAGAGGAAAAAGAATGTGACATCTCTCAAAAAAGGAAAAACAATCACAACATGCAAATGTTGTCTCTGTAGGAGTCTGACAGTGACTGCATTGGACACTTGTCATGGGTGTTCTACAAGGGAGATGTGGTCCATTTTCGTTATGTTTGAAGGAGAAAATGGTTTTATAATAATAAGAATGCACAGATACTAAAATACTGCCCAGATACCTTGCTGTCACATATGTAATATTTGTTTTTGTTTTTCCAGTGTCTAAAGTGGATGAGGAGGCCAGTTATGAAGAGGAAGCCAAAGGTAAATGAATAAATACGAATTATGATGTCTTATCTTTTGTTTAGTTCTTTTCATTTTATTGTGAGGCTTTTTTCTGTATATATTTCTGTCAAAAAATAATTTTCCATTATTATGAATCTACAGGTTTTTCCAGTCACTAACAGAGTATCTTGATGTATAATATTTAGTATATATTATGATATATATTATGCATTATGTATCAATTGTTATGATATTAGGTTATGTATTAATTGTATTGAACCATTGCATCATTTTTTTATTTAGTGTTTTCTACTTCGACTGTATCAACTGAGGAGGATTCTTGCGCAACAAGTCTTCATCTAAAAGAAAAAAGCAAAACATTTGAACTCCAGCCAGACTGTAAATTATGTTCAGAACCATTAGAGAAAAAGCCAGAAAAGCCCGTTTTTGTAACTAAATTCTCATCAGCAATTGCAACTGTTGGAAACACAGCTAAGTTTACTGTGACAGTTTCTGGATTTCCTAGGCCAGTTATTCAGTGGTATCACAATGGCCAATTGATACAGTCCTCATCTTTTTATACGTTTGTCCAAGAGAAAGAAGAACATAGTCTTTTCATTACTAACATTACCAAAGAGTTGGAAGGAGAGTATTCTTGCACTGCGAGCAACCGATTTGGCAAGTCAACATGTACATCGTATCTTCATGTAAAGGTGAAGGACATAAAGGAGCAGGAAAAGACTTTTGGGCAGCCTCCATATTTCATCAAAGCAATTGAGCATGTCAAGTATGCAGCCGGTAGCCATGCTCTCTTTGAATACACCGTAGCAGGGGTTCCACTTCCTGATGTTCAGTGGTACAGGGGTAGCAATCATATGCAGCCTAGTAAGTACTGCATCGTTGTGAACAACACAGATGGGTCTGGCTATTTAAAAATATTAGGCATTCAGCAAAGCGACAGTGGTCTTTACTCTTGTAGAGCATCTAATCCTCTTGGAGAAACCTCTTGCAGTGCAGAACTCATTGTATTCTTGGAGACATCTTCTGAAGCCACTGAATCACGTTTCTATAGTGTCAGTCTTCCAGAACAAGTCAGGACTAGCCTTCAGCAGGGACACCAGATGATTTACACCACTAGCACTGAAGACAGGCAAACTGTTACAAGTGAGCAGACCGATACCTTGCATGCTTTAGATATATCTGCAGCCACTGTGCACTTGGAGCAGGTAACTCGCCAAGCTACAGTGATTCAATCTCATGATGTACAGGAGAGAGTAAAAGTTGCCCCTGCCCAGCCAAAGCCAGTGGTGGCAACTCCCCTGAAACAGCTGCATATGGCTGCAATAACCTCTGCTGTTCAAGAAAAACAAGGATTTACTGAGCAGCACTGTGATCAAATTGTTAGTCCAGAAGTACGAGAGCTTGAATTGAGTGTTGAGGAGCCCTCAAACTTTATGTCTGCCATTTCAGAGAGTTCTACACCTCTTAGCATAGTGAAAGCTAAGGATTTGATAAAAAGTGAAACAGAAAAGATACAAACAACTTCAGAGCCAAAGTTTATTGTTAGTGGTTCTCAATTTGAAATTAAGTTACCGATTCTACAAGAAGAATGCACAAAAATTAAAAGTCCTGAAGAGGAGAAAAGCTACAGAGTTGCAGAAGGGGTTAAGTTATTGTATACTGCAATATCATCAGAAAATGTAGCACTTACAGAAGATCATATTTCAGAGCTAGCAACTGTTGAGTCCATTGAATGTTTAGCAGAAAAAGAACAAGCCAAACCAGTGCTTACATCAGTCAGTGAGACTAAGCACACTCTCTTAAAAGAAAACAACTTTGAAATGCATAGACCAGTCAAGGAAACTGCTCAGCTCTCTAAAGAACCAATATTAAAATCAGCCCTGGTTACTGAAGAAAAGAACAAGCTTCAAGCTGACAAAACCACTGGCATACCTATACTGGAGCATCCTTTTTCAGTCCATTCCCAAAAAGAAGAGGATCAGGTGCTTCATTTACAGCTTATCAGTGATCAAGACACTCTTCTGTCTGAGGGCAGATTTACTACTGAGAAGCCAGGTTTCGAGCAGGCGGATGTCAAGCAAATGCCAATTCTTTTGCACACAGTTTCTTCTGATGACCAGAAAACTGTTTTGTATGAACAGGCAACACAGTTAGCATCCAAGGATACCACAATTGTTGTAAAGCCTAGAGAAGAGGTTCCTGCCCGAATACATCTTCACTCAGTGCAGTCGAAAACCACTTTATGTAAAGAAGGGTTACTTTCAGTCGAAAAGCCAGATGAACAGAAAGC